AAGTAAAAACAGAAAAAGTATTTGTTTGAAATATAATGTTATTAATCCACAGCAAAGATAGTCAAAAGGGAGAAGGTGCCTATTATTTGAGATGGCATAATAATTGGTAGTCTCAATATTTTTAAATATGAGTAGTACAGTATGAAAACTCTTCAATCAGGAAGGAAGAAAGGAAAGAGGGAGGGAGAGAAGGAAGGAAGGAAGGAAGGAAGGAAGGAAGGAAGGAAGGAAGGAAGGAAGGAAGGAAAGAAATAAGGAGGGAGGGAAGATGGGAGGGGGAGGGAGGAAGGAAGGAATACAAAAAAGAAACAATGAGAAAGAAGGAGAGAAGAAGAAAGAGAAAGAGAGGAAGAGAGAAAGAGAGAGAGAGAGAGAGAAAGAAAGAAAGAAAGAAAGAAAGAAAGAAAGAAAGAAGAAAGAGAGAGAAAGAAAGAAAGTAAGAAAGAAAGAAAGAAAGAAAGAAAGAAAGAAAGAAAGAAAGAAAGAAAGAAAGAAAGAAAGAAAGAAAGAGGAAGAGGAAGAGGAAGGAAGAAAGCGGAAGGAAGGAAGGAAGGAAGGAAGGAAGGAAGGAAGGAAGGAAGGAAAGAAGGAAGGAAGGAAGGAGGAAAGGAAGGAAACCCCCACACCCCCAGGTAAGCTCCTACAGCTGTTAGGATCTCTGTGAAGAACTAACATATATCTCCAACAGAAAGCTGTGGAATCCTGACATGGAGATGTTTCGATTGTGACAGGACAATTAAATAAAGGATAATTTTTTTTGCAGGACATATCTTTAGTTCCCTTAAGACTACGTAGGGGAAAAATGAGCCTGTCTTTTTAGGAAGCCTTATTTCATAAGCAATACAAGGAAGCAAAACAAGATGCCAAGGATGTCTTCTCATGCCTGACATTAATGCCTTGATAATTAGACACACAGGAAATTTCTCAAATTATAAATTTATTGGTTTTGCCTGAGTGCTAAAGAATTCTTCCTGAAAGATGTATTTTCTAAGCCTCCCTGGAGGATTTTAGCTCTAAAATGAGAGCTGCAATAACCTGTCTCTGGGAATTTTACATACATATATGAGACGTGAAGTAAATTCAATGAATTAATGTGTGGGCATACTGGTTAAACGGTGCAGATAATTATTCTACTTGACATTTATACATTCAATCAATTATAGGCTCACATCAAACCAGTTCTCAACTTGCTTAGACATGAAGGCAGCCAAAGAAGTCAGATCAGAAACTATGTTATTTGAGCATATTAAAAGTCAAATCTACCTCATTAAGGAGATCTTCCAAATACAAGCCCTTCAGGTTGTGGGTGTAGCAGAAGGAACATTGGATTGGGAATTTCCCCACAGTAATGGTAATGAATACTAAATAATTATAACAGCTAACATTCGTTAAGGACCTTTAGGGGTTCTCTTGATGACTTGCATTCTTTTTTTCTGACAACTATAAAAAAGAGGGTCTATTTTTACCCTCCTTTCAAAAGTGAAGAATGAGAGGCTCCTATGGTTAGAGACTTGCCTGTTATCATATAGCTTGTCAGTATAAGGTGGGAGTTATACACAGACCTCCACCTTGTCAGGCAGTGTGCTACATTGCACACAATGGAGCTCTGCACAAGGGACAACAGGAGCCGGGAAATTAGTGCATTGTGTAGTTAGGGAGCATATTAACATTACTGGGGAATACTCATGTACGTTAGAGACCACCAGTAATATGCTTTCCGTAGTCTTTCATGTTTAAGAAACATGATAAAATCAAGTGTGCTTATCCATGATCGATTGGAAAAAACCTGTCCCTTCCATCTTATAACCATTAATCCTCTCATGTTCTCTCCCTCCATTCTCCTTGGCGTGTTGATGTTTCAATCTTACCAAGTAAGTCAATCAAGATATGAATATTTGGAGCTGTCATCATTGTTATTAATGGGGATGAAAATGTCAATAAAGCATTGTTGTGTTTATTAAATAATGTATGATGATTATAGAATGTAAAATTATTAATTTTTAGTTGTAGCAGTTGACTTCTTCTGAGATGCAAACCAGGATTTCAGATGAGAGTTTCAATCACAAAAACTTATTTTATTCATCCTTCAGACTGTAGGTGATTTAAACAGGGATTACAATAATCTACCATTTGGTGCTTAATGGTCTCAAACCATTTGTACAAAGTTAAATTTCCCATTCATAAGCTTTGTGGAAAATTAATTTTTAAGCATGCTGTTAATTCAAAATCATACCCTTTAAAATTGGTTGTTTCTTAGGTTAGTTGGTTGAGTCCCAATTATATACTGCCCTGTGGAAACTTTCTTTGCAGAAATGAGCATAATTCTATGGTATATTTCAGTATGTGAAGGTTAACCACAGGGGGGCAAACGTGTTCAATTTTATTTGTTTATGTATTTTTAGGTAACAGTTAATTCTATTGCTCTCAGATTACAATCACCTCATTGTACACTGCCCAGTGCTAGTATAATGCAATGTCAAGTTGACAGAGGCAGAACTCTTCAAAAGCCACAGTGGTTTCTAGTATACCTTTAAAACTTAAAAGAAAGAGAAAATCTTATTGAACCTTACTTAGCTATCAAAAAAAGCATGACTTGGTTCACCCATAAAAAATTTGTGTTTGTCAGGCCACTGTTACCCAAACTGAACCATACCTCCAACCTTTTGTGCAGATCATCCCAGTTCATTGAAATAATACATGCAATAGAATATTAAAAATTGACAGTAAAATCATCAGAATGTCACTGACATTACATGACTAAATGTCACATTGGTGAATCACACATAGACACTATTAATCAATGACACATGAAGGCAGCTCCCTAATCCATCTATAACCACCCCCTAAAATAAATTAATAAAAAGCAACACAGAAGTTCTTATAAAGTGATGAATTGTCTTTTTTTTTTTTCTAACCATTATTCAAAGTCAAGCATTTAAAGAATTGTCTAAAAACCCTCCAGTCAAATGCTTTGTGCAGCATTCAATATGTAACACGGGAGCTAATGGAAAAAGCAGGCGGTGGAAGGGAGAACTTTCAGTTGTCATGCTGAAAATTGCTTTAAAGAAGATTGTCGTTTGAGACTCTACTGTCAGCAATGAAGGACTCCGAAAGCAGCTGAACCCAGAATTCTGACTGTGGTATGTTTAAAGTACATCAGTCTAGGAATTCTATAACAGTTTTCTCTTTTATTAACTAAATATAAATTATAAACTAAATATAAATCAGTTAAAAAAATTAACAACTGAAAATATTGATTTCACAGTTGGGAATGAAGGTTATCTGTTGTTTTAAAATACTAGAAATATGCTTTTTAAAAAAAGAGGAATAATATAATCTGAATGTGCTATTTGTTAAGTATCATTGTTTATCTTGTGTGCAAAACTAATGTTTGCTTCTGAACTTCTGACCGTTTCTAAACTTATTTGTTTATTGATCTTATTGAAATAGTGATTTCACAAATTCTACTATAAAATAGTTACTGATTCAAAAACATCAAATATAACTGCTTGTAAAAATAATTATTTTAAGTGTTCTTAAGAAATTAGTTCATATAAGATTTTTATTAAATAATTTTTGTCAAAGTAGAAAGTCTGAGAAAGAATCTGAATTTGAAGTAGCAAATGCCATAGGATTAAATGTTAAAATAAATAAGTGAGACAGGTATGAAACTCACTAACAAGTAAGCTGGGAACAAAATATTTCTATCTGCTATTTTTATTTTCTCTTGGTTTTAAAAGTGATAGGATGCTTAATTTTGCCTTGGTTTTAATTTATTTTTTCTTCAAAAATAAACATTGTTTATATAACTGTCTAAAAATCTCAACTGCTTCTATATGAAGATCAGGGTTTCTATTTCTTTATCTATTTTCAAGCTTAGAACACTTAAACTGCACAATTGTTGACACTAAAATAAGTCTAAGAAAAATAAGTACTTAATAGATCTCCTACAATATTTAAATTGTTTTTAAAAATCAATCATCTGTAAAGGCATAGCAAAATGTATTCCCTGTAAGTTACTTCCAGATGATATTTAAAGTATTTAAAGTTCATAGAAAACCACCAATTTTTGCCTCACCATACATCATCTACTGATAAATTTAGCTTTGAAGTTTTACTAGATAAACCAGAGAATTTATGATTTTGATGAAATAAAAATGAATGAAAAAATACCGTAAGATAGACTAAGAAACAGCACTTAGTACAATGCTTGTTTTAGTATGGAATATCAGTCAGTATTCAGTTTCTTTTAGTTCCTTTTTTACTTTTTTATAGAGTATTTACAATTTTATCCTTTCCATGGACACATGTTGTATTTTGTGGTATTTGGAGTCACATTCTATCCAATTTTGCAAGTCAGGTAATTCATGTGTTTTGTATTCAGTTTGTATTCTCATCATTGGTGATTAACTTTCTGTCTTCTTTGTAGCCCTATGATACTGTGGTGCTCAGTAAACCTATTTCATAGGCCACTCGAAATGTGAAAAAACTGTTGCTTATCCATTAATTAAATGAACTAAAATTGATATAGGGAAAATTTGCCTCAACAGCAAAGTGTCTGAAAATTTTCAGAGAGTTTTCTTGAGAGAAGTAAGAAATTATCTTACTTGTTTGAATTATCTTGATAAAAGTACCAAATGCAATTATTTTCATACTTATGCTTGATTTTAACTAAATTTATTGTTTGTTATCAGTATAAAATATTCGCATATTGGGGACTCTTTAGAAAGGAAAAAATATGTGCTGTGAAATCATACTTGATATCTGAAAAAAATATATTTCACTAACCTAAAAGTAAGTTCGTAAGCAGAACTATCATTAAAATGGAATAGAAAATGTTCTTTGCGTATGTCTTCCTAATACAATAAGAGATTGTATTCAGTGATATTTTAATATTAAAATATCACATTCTAGGAAATTTTTATTGCACCAACTTTTAAACAAAATATGTATGTTTCCTTTTTCTAAACCAAAAGCTTGTAATAATGATTGTCAATATAGTGAATACCAAAATTATCTCCAGGGCTTGTTAAAAACTGTATGGCTGAACTCGCGCCTGCCTCAAGAGATTCTGATTGCAATAGTTCTCATTCAGACATAAAAATTTTTCATTTTTATGTTTCCAGGTGATATTGATGCTTTTGGTGCAGTTGGAACATGTAAGAACCACTGTCTTAACTATATTGTTAATATCTCAGTGTACCTAGTATTTTGAGAATCTACCATGTGCCATAAGTCTGAGAATGCACTGATGAATAAAAGGCAAAATCCCTATGCTTGCAAAGCTTATAGAGGAGAAGTCAGACAATAAATAAGTCAACAGCTAAATACCTGTTTACAAGTTCTTTGTAAACGGATACAGGGTAGTGGCAGAGGTACTGGTGCTTGTCTGATCGGGGAAGCAGCCCCTCAGAAGGTACTGAGAGATGAGAGGTCAACTGAGAGAAGAAGGGGAGGATACATTCAAGGCAGACTAGTGACTTCATGAGGATCTTGGGTGGCAAAGAGCTTCGTGTGTTTGAAAAACTGAAAGGTGGCCTGTATGGCAGGAACACAGAGACTGAGAAAAAGACTGCCCGAGAGGAGAGAGAGGTAAGCTGGCACAGTGTGGCAGGGACCTACAATGGGGAGATGGGGAGATGGGGTTTTATCTTAAATTGAATTTCAAATAGATTTCTGTTATAAGACCAGTTTGCCCTGAGGCAGGGAGCAATGGTGGAGGTGGGAATGACATTATAGAACTCCAGCTGAAAGTGAGAGTGGTTTTGGACAAGAGTGATTGGAGTTGGGATGAATACATCAGAAAGTTCCCCACATTAGAATGTGGAAAACACTAAAATATCTAAGCACAGAGGTGGCAGTGACTCAGAATCCCTAGTAATATGGAATACAGGTCAAGAAAGTAAAGTGGTTATAAAGCAAAGTTATATTAGTGTGTGTGTGTATGTGTGTGCAGTGTGTGTAACACCAGTAACAGAAGTGGGGATGAGCATGATTTTTTTAATTCTCTTTATTGTGCAAGAAAGCAATGCATGTTACTACAAACATTTCTAAATTAACATATGTCATTGAAAAATCTGATTTTGGGTAGACAGTCATATGTTGAATTAATGATTCAGTTGTGTTAGTGTGTATGCATGCGCATACCCATGAGTGAACACAAGGTATAGTGGGTACAAAATGAGAAAAATGTTTCATATTGGGAATGAGTCTTAAATGCTAAAGTGCATAAGAATTATTCTATCATTTCACAGTCCTTTCAGATACCAATAGCACAGACATGACACTTGTAGATCTTGAAGACAATCAGCCTTTTCCATGCACAGCTGCCTTTGTGCTGTTTTTTCTTCCTAGGTCTCCCCACACTCAATTCTACCTCTATTCATAGGGCTCATGTAACATCACTTCTGAATAAGTGTATTTAAGATAGTTACTGCAGCATTGATCTCATAGAACTCACCCCCAAAATAACACACATCACACGAAAGTGTAATCTCTATGTCCTCCTATATGTCTGTGATTCAATTACTCTCTTAAAGCAGGAGCACCATGAATTTCTTTTTTCATAATTACCTTAGTGCCTTACTTAAAGGATGATTCATAGAAAGAACTCAAGATAAACTTGTTAAATGCGCGTGGGTTGAGCATTGTGGTGTAGTGGGTAAAGACGTCTCCTGTGAGGCCGACCTTCCATATGGGTGCCAGATAATGTCCTGGTTGCTCCACTTCCAATTCAGATCCATGTTTATTGTCTGGAAACAGCAGTGGAGGATGTGCCTGGGTCCCTGCACCCACACAGGAGACCTGGATGAAGCTCCTGGCTCCTGGCTTCAGCCTGGCCCAGTGCTGGCTGTTGAGGCTATCTGGTGAGTGAACCGGTATATAGAAATCCTTTCTGTGTTTCTCCCTCTCTTTCTGTAACCCTTATTTTCAAAAAAATTAATAGATCTTTGTAAAAACTTGTTAAATGAATGAACTACTGAAAGAGAACATCATGAAAAAATTTCAACTTCAAATGGAGTAGAGTTATTAATGTGGTGTGCAAGGGTAAAGCTATACTTTGTGAGAAGGTGATCAAGCTTGTCTCAAAATATGGGTCAAAAATTTTGTGTAATTTTACTTCTAGGAGTTTGTGTTAATAAAATAGAGAGTTTAGGCTGGCGCTGCGGCTCAATAGGCTAATCTTCCGCCTGTGGCACCGGCACACCAGGTTCTAGTCCCGGTTCTAGTCCCGGTCGGGGCGCCAGAATCTGTCCTGGTCGCTCCTCTTCCTGTCCAGCTCTCTGCTGTGGCCTGGGAGTGCAGTGGAGGATGGCCCAAGTTCTTGGGCCCAGCAACCCATGGGAGACCAGGAGGAAGCACCTGGTCCTGGCTTCGGATCAGCGCTGTGTGCCAGCCACAGCGCGCCGGCCACAGGGGCCAATGAGGGGTGAACCAACGGAAAAAAGGAAGACCTTTCTCTCTGTCTATCTCTCTCACTGTCCACTCTGCCTGTCAAAAAAATAAAATAGAGTTTAACTGAGATACATGAACAAGAATATCAGCTTAATAATTATATATGTTGATAAATAATAATTTTATAAAATAATCCTAAATATCCTTCAGTTTGGATTAATAATGATATAACCATAAACTAAATAGTGTTAGGTATTTAAAAGTATAATGGGGCATGACTAACCTGCACCACTATTCCTCAATGGTACAACAATAAACAAAATGTGGCTATATAAAATTGTTGAATTCCCCTCACTGGAAGCCTTTGTGGGATACCTTGGCCCATCAGATTATTCCACACAAGCTACTGAGGTCATCAAACCCCAGAAACTTGTTCTGAAGTGAAATCTGGGGAGCTGTAGTGTTGTGTTTCTTGTTCTGAAGTGTATTCTATGAAAATACGCTGAAAGTAGCCCATCCCTGGAACCTAGAATAGCTTTTCTTTCCTAGCTGATATGACATTAGATGAAACTCTATGTGCTGATGTACAGATGCATGGTGGACTTTTCCCTTTGCTTCACCCAAGCACCATTTCCTCACTGCCCTTCTTTCTCTACACTAAGTCAGGCAGACAGAATTCTCTATTCTGTTGGCTATCGTGTTAGCAACTGTGATGGACAAAGTTCCAAACCTGAATTTGACTGTGGGACATTTTCCCAGAACTTATGTAAGGAAAGATGTTCTCTACTCTACTACGGGAGGAAAGTTATTTTCAGCAGTGTTAAGTCATTGGCCTGGGATTGTTTCTGTACCTGAAACTCTTATGCAAACCGAATGAAACAATGTGAAGGTATTCCTTACAATAAACTAAAAACAAAACACCCTGGCCTCAATCACAAAATTGGTTATGTAATTACAGATTTTTGCATCACATCGTGTAGAAATAGTGCAAATGTCTATCTGTAGACAATCAGGCAATTTGTTTACTTTGCTCCCATGTTCAGGCTATAAAACCCGGCTAGTCATTGCTATAGGAGTACAGCTCTCTGAAGTGTTCTGCTTTTGAGTGTTGCTCAATCCATGAGTTATTCTTTCATCAAATAAACTCTGCTGCATTGGTTTTACCAAAATTTTTTTCAACAGTAGGAAGAAAATTAGGCAAACATTAAAAAGAAGAAAAAATAGAATGGAACAAAAAATAGAATTGAGGCCGGCGCCGCGGCTCACTAGGCTAATCCTCCGCCTAGCGGCGCCGGCACACCGGGTTCTAGTCCCTGTTGGGGCGCCGGATTCTGTCCCGGTTGCCCCTCTTCCAGGCCAGCTCTCTGCTGTGGCCAGGGAGTGCAGTGGAGGATGGCCCAGGTGCTTGGGCCCTGCACCCCATGGGAGACCTGGAAAAGCACCTGGCTCCTGGCTCCTGCCATCGGATCAGCGCGGTGCGCCGGCCGCAGCGCGCCGGCCGCGGCGGCCGTTGGAGGGTGAACCAATGTCAAAGGAAGACCTTTCTCTCTGTCTCTCTCTCTCACTGTCCACTCTGCCTGTCAAAAAAAAAAAAAAATAGAATTGAGAGATGGAAATAGAGATCTAATAGTAGTAGTAGTATGACTACTAGTCGTAATAGTATTTTGTCTCCCAAACTAACAGTTTTAAAAGCTTATTCATTCTACACATTTAAAGGTTGAGAGCTAAATAATGTTTACTTTATGACCATAAACATCCTTTTGTTTTTACGGATAAGCTATAATTATCTAGTTTGAATTGGAGTTCTGTCATTTGGAACAGAAAGTGCCCTGTTTAATATAGATATTTTTGGTATGTAGTAGAATAAGAACAGTATATTAAATTCTGTGAGTGTAGGTGTTTGAAATATTACATGTCAAGTGTATAATATTTATTCATACACACATACAGTTAAATTTGAATTTGGGGGAGGGTGAGGAATGGGAGGAGAACTCTAAACTTATGTAATAGCAACTCTCTACCTGTTAGCTCTTAACAGTACTTTCTCTTTATTTTGTATCACTCATGGTTTATTGGAAAACCAAAAACAGAGCTGAGAAAAATAAAAAGGGAACTGAAAAATATCATTGCTCAGAGGAGAGGAAACTGTTTGTATAATTGGAAAAAGAGTCTGAGTAAGGATACAGTTTGGACTGGGTCAGGTAAATGTCGGGGCTGCAATGGGAGACACACAATGTGGGGAGAAAGACGACACAGAGCACAGATATGAGGGCTGTGGGAATTTTTGTAATACATCTTAGCAGCCTCTATTTCTTCAGATTCATAAATACAACATTTTTAAATTTTTTAAACTCAGCAAACACTTTTAACACTGATGTAGATTAAAGAATTAGCTGAGGAGGTGTTGGAGAACTAAAATGTCTTTAAAACAAATGAAACTCTGCTGCCAGTTAAATCAGCTTCCATATATAATTCCTCACAGAAATGAAAAAATGGACCTTTCAGTTCTCATATCCAATACTTCAGTTTGAATTGTAAGGGCAAATATGACAGTGGAAGACCATTAATGAAGCATGAAGTGCCAAAATGTGGTCTTTTATATATTTGATAGCAATACTCACACAAAATAAAAATTAAAAAAAAGAAATTAATTCTAAAACTAATTGAGCAAATACTACTGCCAAAGAGGTCATAGTATTTTACCAAATATACATGTGAAATAGATACTATTCTTATCATTCTTCTATGAATAGGACTCTTTCCTTGTAGTTTGGTATCTTTAAGAACTTGATCCCTGGAATTATGGCACATGGATTGAATCCTGACACTGACACTTATTCTCCATGTCGTGGCACTGGAAAGTTACTTAAGTCCTTGCTACCTCAGATTCACTGTCCATAAAATGTGGCATGGGGTTGGGGGTGGCAAGTAATGATATTTACCTCACTGAGTATTTGTGAGGAAACAATGAATGTGTCTACTTTAAAAAACTTAAAACAGTGAATGCATATAGTATTTGCTCCATTAAAAAAGTATGTCCATACTTTTACAGATGAAAAAAAAATCAAGGATTTTAGAGATTGGCTAGTCCAAGAACACACAGTCAAGGTGCGTAGTAAGCTGCCCTTGCTCACAGGTTGTCTGGTTCTGTGTGAAATAAGGAGTGACATTATGGCAAGGGGGAGGAGAGAGAGAGAGAGAGAGAGAGAGAGAGAGGAGAGAGAGAGAGAGAAAAGGAGAGGAGAGCAGAAGAGGGGAGAGGAGGGGAGAGGGGAGGCGGAGAGGAGGAGAGAGGGGAGGAGGGGAGAAAAGAGGAGGGGAGAGAAGAGGAGGGGAGGAGAGGAGAGGAGGGGAGAGGAGAGGAGGGGAGGAGGGGAGAGAGGAGGAGGGGAGAGAGGAGGAGGGGAGAGGAGAGGAGGGGAGGGGGAGGAGGGGAGGAGAGGAGAGGTGGTGGAGAAAGAGAAGCAGAGAATAAGAGTCTGGATGATGACAATTGGCCATTGCAGTGTACCATGTACAACCTCCTTCCATTTCCCTCTGTGATACAGATGATAAATTCCACTTTGTTCACTAATCTTTAAAGGTGGAATTTTGGGAAGGGAAATAAGGATGATAAGGAAACTTCATAAATGCTGTATATGTTTATAACCAAAAATGAAAATATTTACAATGTGGAATACTAGAAATTTAGTTTCTTTTTGTAAGACCAAATCATTGGTTAAGTGGTAAGTGTGTGTAAAGGAGCCGATAGTGGCTAGGATGGATCCTGCTGATAAATGTATCCTGAACTATTAGAGATGAAGCTGAAGAATGAAATCTGGTACCTGATGAAAGTAAGAGTGTATGAAACTGGGAAAGAGGAGGAACAATGTTTATAAAAAAATTAGGATCCATGGTTGCTCTGATAAACTCCTAAAAAGGCAAAGAAGCCTAAACAACATATATAACATATCCATATTCCCCATGATATATATGCTCAATTCCCTCTGCTAATTTTGTTTCTTGAGCTGTGTATAATGACAGATTGCACTTAAAATGATTTGGCATTGGTTTTATGGAATACTGACAAATCGCACTTAGAAGTTGGATACAGGTATTTTCTGAAAAATATATCAAAGAAAATGCCCTGCTTATAAATTATGTAATTTCAAATATTTTATACCTGTATATAAAATATATGTTCATAAAGTGAAATTCCATTTGTATTTAGCTATTATGTTGTCTTAAGATATATTTAATATTGTCTTTTAAAAAGAAACATGTAGTTGTGAGGCTTTGTCTTAACTAGAAGTTGTTGGTTAGTTGTTGGCTCCATACCCTGCCTATGCTCCTGATTCCAGCTTCCAGCTCATGCAGATTCCAGGAGGTAGAAGGTGTTGTCTCAAGCAGTTGGATCCTTGCCACACATGTGGGAGACCTTGACTGAATTCCAGCTCCTGGCCTTCTCAATCCCTTATTAAGGGCATTTAGA